GATGTACAAGTCTTTATTTGTGCCGAAGTTCTCATTTTCTTGGGGTATATTCCAAGCAGAGGAATAACTGGGTCATAGGGAATTTCTATGTTCAGCTTTTTGAGGAAGCAACAAACTGCCTTCTAGAGTGGTTGTGCCATTTTACAATCCCACCAACAATGTATAAGAGTTCCTATCTTACCACATTCTCTCCAGCATTTCTTACTTGCTGTCCTGTTAAATTTTGCCATGGCTACTGGAGTCACAATGGTAACTTATTGTGATTTTTATCTGCATCTTTCTTACTACCAGTAATTTTGAACATTTCTTCATATATCTGTTGGCCATAGTGATATCTTCCTCTGTGAAAATTCTTTCCATGACTTTTGCCCATTTTGTAATTAGGTTATCAATCTCTTTTTGTGGAGGCCCAGGAGTATTGATCTTATATCCTGCCACTACTAAATTTGCCTAATAACTCTAACAGGGTTTGGAGTTTTTGTTGTTGTTGAGTCTTTGAGGTTTTCTGTGTATACTACCATATAATCTGCATATAGTGATAGTTTAACCAACTCTTTGCCGATCTGGATACCTTTTACTTCCTTCTCTTATTGTATTGCCCTAGCAAGCACTTCCAATAAAATATTGAATAGAAGTGGTGACAGTGGGCATCCTTGTCTGGTCCCTGTTTGCAAGGAAATGGTTTTAGTCTTTCTCCATCGAGAATGATGTTGGCTCTTTGTTTTGACATATATACTTTTCATTATGTTGAGGAAATTCCCTTCTATTCCAATTTTGCTGAGTGTCTTTATCAGGAAGGGATGTTGAATTTTGTCAAGTGCCTTTTCTTCATCAATTCCTAATATCATATGGTTCTTGTTATACCATCTACTGTTTTATGATCAAAAAGAGGAGTAATTTTCAGATGCGAGGTTCCTAGATAGGACCAGGGAAAACCCCAGCAAACAAGTTCATTACTGAGCAACTGGATAAACAAAATGTGAGAAAGAAAATGTAAGCAAGTCAGTCAATTACTTCTACTAGAATTAAAACAAAGAAGAGAAAGAAAACCTCTTCCTTTTAAACAGTTCTAGAAAGAAGCACTATCTATTTTTAGGATATTGTGAGAAGTTAATATTTATTAATTAGGGAATTGTTATTATGTACCATTGAGTTAGAACTGACCCATAGCTGACTCTTCAGTGGGTTTTCAGAGGCAGATAACTGCATAGGAGGAGACTACCCATCTTTCTCCCACAGAGCAGCTAGTGGATTCAAACCAGGTGCCTCTGAGTTGGCAGTACAACTCCTTACCACTAAACCATAAGAGCCTCTTCATTAGAGCCCATATTGTTCCATCTATTAGCAACAAGGGGGAGGCTTTCTTACATAAGCCCATTCAAAATGCTACTTTAAACTATACAGGGTATATATTTAAGAAAATAAGCCAATATCGTATTACTATACGAATGTGTCAGATTCTCACTACTTTATTTTTGGTTGAATAGGGTCTCTTTTTATTTGATAGCCTTCTAATACCCATAAGTATTTTAATTTTTTTAAGAGGTCTCACTCCTCTAAATTGCCTCTCATGTCTTTTTTAAATTACATTTGGTAGTTCATTTATGTCTTATATTAGAACCCATAAGCTTCCTCTGTTCTTTCTTTAATGGTCTTTAGGTTTTACATTTAGGTCTTTGATCTAAGGTTCATATCGTATATGGCGAGAGAGATGAGTCCTATTTCATTTTTCTGAAAATAGCCATCCTGACTAACTTTGCTGAGAGCATTTCCAGTCTTATATATGTGTCTCAGACTCCAGGACAAAATTCAGGAAATTTTCTAGCAACACCAATCTTTTTAAATGCATTCGATACACAGCAAGGTAATTTAGATCTATGATCTTAATAGCCAACATCAGCATTCTCTGGTACCAGCAAAGCCAAATGAATTAGTATTCATTTTAATTAACCTTGCCCATGACCTAGAAGAGAACCCCAGGAGAAGCTCTGCTACAAGCAGCAGACTTTCAGGCTTAGTTAGTCCTTAGAAAAAAGACATCATGCTTGGAGAGGTAGAGGGCCAGTGTAAGAGGGGAAGACCTCCAACAAGATGGATTGACATAAGAATGGTAACAATGAGTGCAAGCATACCACAGATGATGAGAATAGCACAGGACAGGACAGAGTACAGAACCATTGTTCAGAGGGTTGCAATGAGATGTAGTCGACTTGATGGCACATACAACAATAACAACAATATAAGCAGTACAAGAAAAAGCAGATGAGCATGAAAGAAGGTTGAAGCTAGGCTAGAGCTAAAGGAACAATCTCAAAATAAGATGGAAAAACGGGATTTCAGTTGAGTCACAGGAAGCAAAAGAACAAACAAGTCTGTCATGGAGGAGGTGTAACCAGGATGCATTTTAGAGGCAAAGATGATGAAACTTTATCTCACGCATTTTGAGTATGCAAGTAGAAGGGCTATTGTGGTGGTTAGGCACTGAGTTGAGTATAATGACTCTATGAACAACAGATATGAACCCTGTCCTGCCCTGTGCCTTCCTCACCATCTCTGACATATGTGAGCCCATTGCTGAAGTCACTGTGTTTATCCATCTGGTTGAGAGTCTAATTCTTTTTCCCTGTCCTGCTACCTTTCCAAGCATGATGCCCCTTTCCAAGGAATTGCCTTCCTATCAACATGCCCTAAGTATGTGAGATGAAGCTTTGTCATCCTTGCCTTAAACTACATCTGTCCATCCTGTGGAAGAGCTGGTGGGTTTAAATCATGTGCCTTTGGGATTGCAGGGCAGTTTCTTATCCCTAAGCCATGAGAGTTTTACTTTTGACAATTTGCAAATTTGGATGCTTTTTATTTCTTTGCCTTATTGCCCTAGCAAGTACTTCCAAAACAATGTTGAATAGGAGTGGTATAGTAGACATTCTTGTCGGGCCCCTGTTTGCAAAGAGAATGCCTTTAGTCTTTCACCATTGAGAATAATAATGGCTCTTGGTTTTGCATATATACTCTTCACTATGTTGCGGGAATTCCTCTCTATTCCTATTTTGTTGAGTGTTTTAATCAGGAAGGGGTGTTGGATTTTGTCAAAGGTCTTTTCTACATCAATGGATCATGTGGTACTTGTTCTTTTCTTTGGTAATGTGATGGATTACACTGATTGGTTTTTCCTGTGTTGAACCATCTTTGCATACCTGTTATGAATCTCACTTGGTCATGATGAACTTTTTTTTAGGATTTGTTAAGAATTTTTCTATTTATTTTCATGAGATTTATTGGTCTATAGTTTTCCTTTTTTATTATGTTTTTGCTTGGTTTTAGTATTAAAGATTACACTTATTTCATGTAATGCTTCTGGAGTGTTCCTTCTTTTTCTATTTTCTGAAATAATTTAAGAAGAACTGGTGACAGATCATCTCTGAATGTTTGGTAGAATTCAGCCATGAAGACACCTAGGCCAGGACATTTTTGGGGGTTGGGGTGGGAGGTGTTTTATGATCTGTTCAATTTGGTTTTGATGCGCAGATTTTGTGTCTTCAGTAATCCTCCCAGACCAGAAGCATCAAGTCTAAGAAGGGTCACAGAGCACCCTCCCACTGTGGTCACTTAAGAACCAGGCTGGGATCTGGGCTGTCTGCCTACAGTGGGCAGCAAGAGAAGTGATATGCAATGCTCCTTCTCCTGACTGTGCAGGAATTGCTGCATGTGAAGAACTAACCCTTGTCCTTCTCTTGCCCAGAACCCAGGATGTCTAGGATTTATAATGAATCGCCTACCACGAGCCATGAGGTCTGTGTCTTGTGTGGTGATCCACATCAGTCAGTCCCGAGGGATACGTGCTGGGTAGATTCCTTTCCCTACTCCATGTTATACTGGGATGCCTAAGAAGTCCAATGAGAATGCCCTACACAGACCCTCGGCCTCACTAATAAAATGAAAAAATAAACAGAAGAATGTCTTCCCAGCAAGCTGCATATACCTTGACCCACTGGGTCAAATCACAAACATGAGGAAAATGTGGAGGCATTGCTTGGGAGGGGGTGTCACTGAGGTTCTTTTAAAAATGATGAAAAATCACAGGGGGCTCCAGAGCTCAGCTTTCAGTGACAGGTCTGGGGAAAGGGTGGCCTGTGCCATGTCGGGCCATGAAGGTATTAAGAAGGAGCCCCTGAAACTGCCCAAGAAGTAGATCAAGGAGATGAATGAAGAAGATAAGGCTGTCGAGCAGAAACAAAAAGAAGACAGAAAAAACTTAAGGAGCTAAAACTGAAGGTCGTGAGCAAAGGACCCCTGGCCTTGGGTGGAATTAAGAAACCTGGCAAAAAAAAAGATTGCGGCAATGATGGACCTTACTTCTGTTCCTTTTTAAAACATCTGGATTCTCTGCTATAACATCTGTTGGCACCTGTAGTTAAAAGGAAGTGTTATCTTGGAGTCTGTTGTACATTTAAGAATAAATTTCTGCAAAACAATGAAGAAAAAGAAACCAAATAATGTTCCATCTCTTCAGTTCTCACTCAGCCATTCCAATCTTAGCTATGCAAAGTAAACACAATCCAGAATCCTGTCAGAATCTGCTCTTCATTCTTTGTTATGCCCAGAATTCTGTACCACCTGGAAATAAACCAACTCATTTGAAATTAAAAAAAAAGTGATGGAAAATCTAGAAACAGTGGTGGTGGTTATCTAACATGATAAATATAATTTATGTCACTGAATTATACATATAACACAAATATTGAAACGGCATTTTGTTGTTTTATGTATGTGTATATGTATGTAGACATATATACAATCATCACAATTTTCAATAAAGAAATTTAAAAAACAAAAGCATGAGAGGCTGTTGGCACACTTGCAATAGCACAGAGCTCAGAATGCAGATGCACAACAATGACTTTGTTTATTGTGGCATGAAGAGCCAGGTCTGGAGTCACAGAGGTGGCCCAGCTGCTACAGGACTCAGACCCTTGTTTTCAGGACAGCCAAGAGGGCCTCACACCGGTGTGGAAGGCGGCAGCACTTTCCCAGCACACTGGCCAAACCCGATGCGATAGCCATTCCCCTGGCAGAACCCTGGAACAGAAGGGAGACAGGTCACCCATCAAGTTGCAGGACTCACAAGAGCCAAGGCCCAGGCAGTCACAGTGTGTAAATCTGGGCCCAAAGCAGGGAGGCACCATCAAAATGATGAGCGCGCATTTTAAACCAAATAGCTCTCCCAGATGCTGGTCAGAGCTGCTTCAGTACTTAAGATGGGCTTCGGGTTCCACCTTGACCCCAGAGTGCCCTCTACAACCTTCCTTACAATGGTCAACTTTGCCACGTCAGTTTAGGTTCAAATCCCAAGTCTCTCTGAATGAAAACCTGGCTCCTCCATCTACTACCTTTGTGACTTTGGGCCCCTCTCCACCTCAGTTTTCTCATTCATGAAACAGATCTAATCCTTAGAGAAGGATACAGTCCTTGGTGAAGTTGAGGAGAAGATAAAGAGGAAGACCCTCAATGACATGGCTGGATACAGGCCACAACCGTGGGCTCTGGCTTAGCGTTAACTATGAGCATGGCCTAAAATCAGGTAGTATTTTGAACTCTTCTCACAGTCTGAGAACAGTGCCTGGCCATAGCAAAGACCCAACAAATGACAAGGATCACATCATTTACCAGCGAGGTAACTGCACCCAACTTGTTTCCTCTCTGAGTTCAGCCCCTTTATCTCCCAATGGGAACGGCAATCTTTATCTTTTAGGATTGTGAGGATTAGGTGAAACATGGCGTGAAGGTCCCAGAATGGTATTGCACACACAGTTGCTCAATTTTATGCATTCGAGTCCCTTTAAATTAAAGTCGTGGAAAGGCCAGGAGAAGGGAGAACCCACTCTGTCCTTAAAGAGGATAGGTTTTGTGAGAGTGACAGGTCTAGACAAGAGTTAGAGGACAAATGTCTACAGAGGCTGAGAGAGAAGTATGAAGGAATGCAGAGGGCAGAAAAGAAAGGATGTCTGATGATCTGATCTGGGCCTTGATGGTTGGCTAGGGGTTCACTGAAGAGCACTCAATGGAAAGGGCATTTCAGGCAGAGGGCATGGCAAGTGAAGAGGCATTGAGACTCGGCATGAGCCGCATTTCTGAATGAGGCTGCCATGAGTGTAACCTGAGAGTCAGATTACCAAGGGCTTTAGGAAGCCACATAGAGGTGTGTAAGCCTTATCCTGAGGGCAAACAGATGGCAGAGAGGTTTTCCACAAAACAGGGACATTACAACTATGTTTTGGAGATCTTCTTCTGAGGTCCTTGGTGAAAAGATGAATCTAACATACACACAAGAATACACACACAAACAAACTGGACCTGTGATTATCATGTCAAAATATAAAGGTCCTCAAACTCCTCAGGCTGAAATATTTCTTCAGGGTCCCGTCTATTGTTGAATCCAGGTAAGGCAACATGAAAAAGATGACAGCCAAGTCAGTGGAGGAAATGAGGGTCACCACTAGGATGCCTATAATCTTCACTTATATGGCAATGCTACCCAACGCCCTCGTCTGCTATAATCTGAGGTTGCATGCACCTTTACGCCACTCATTCTGGGATGTGGAAATGATCATCCCAGCAACCAAGAAGGAAAAAGAATCAGACCACCTTGCTAAAATGATTCATGGCCATCTGGACGTAAAGACCAGGGGCAGATTAGTGAGATGGGGTCAGAGTGGGCCATATCCTCAACAAGCAGCCATCTCTCAACAAGTGACATCCTCAGTAAGCCCTCTCAGCCAGCACAGGGAATAAATTCATATGGCGGCCATATGCCCAGGCTGTGCACTTCCTACCCCTCCCACCATTTCAGTCATCTAAATGGTCCTCCCTGCTCAGAGCCACTCTGATTTCTGGTCTCTTCTAGAAAAGGAGCAGCAGAGATCTCACAGTGGCATCTCCAGAGCTTTCAATGCTAGTCTCCACCAGGTCCAGAAACACCCTTTTGTCCCCCCGACACCGGATTATCCACGCAGCCCCTCTGGCTGCTGTTCATGCTCACAACCTATGCACAGACCCTCGCACTCAGGAGCACCATTTGTCAGGGGAAACATCCCTGCCCAGTCTATTGCTCAGTTTCATTACTTTTCTGCCAGTCACTTTGGAATCCCCATGCTCAGAAATAACGGTATCCTTGGGAAAAACAAAAAACCTATTAAAGCAAAACTACCTCCTGGCAGAAATTCATTAATCATCTATCAAAGTGACTAACTCGGAAGTGCAGCATTTTCAAGGAGCCCTCATCCTGGCATGCTATAGGCACCGGGGGACACTCAGCTCCCCACTGCATGCAGGTTCTCAAAGATCAGCATTAACTCCTTCCTGTCCCTAAAATACAGCAGTACCACCACCCACCTGAAAACAGACCATGACTGCTTCCAGAACATGGGCACCCCTTTATATACCTCACTTCTAAAGAAGCCAACTTGGCAGGCAAAGCCAGCCACATTCTCCCCATCTGACACTGTTGTTGTTTGGTGCTATCGAGTCATAAATGACTCATAGTGCACCTATGAATGAAAGGCCTGAGCACTGTTCATTGAGTTTCCAGAGGCAAACCATTTCAGAAGTGGATGCTACTCCTGCTTGGAAAATAGCCCGAACAAAGGTTTATCAATCTTGATGCAAGTGACACTTTGGAACAGGTAATTCTTTACTGTAGGGACTATTATGTGCTTTGGATATTTAATAGCACCCCTGGCCTCTGCTCACAATATGTCAATGGCATCCCCCTAGTTATGACAATACAAAGTGTCTCCAGAAGTTGCCAAATGTCCTGTGTGGAAAAGTTCATTCCTTGGTAAGGAGCTATTGTCTTGGCAAATGGAAGGGCTGATTCTCTCCATTCACTCTTGGCCAGGGGGACACAAGAAAGACAGTCTAGGAGGCAGGCACACTCAGGGCCGACCAGAGCTGTAAGAACACAGGGAAAGTCTGTGCCCTTGTCAGACCTTGTCACTTAATCCCAGGCCTGCTATCCTGCCCTGTTTGTCCACTTCTGAAACGCACCCCCATTATAACTCCATTATACCACTGAGATGATAACCAATATACCAAATGCCCTTCTAAGAAGTCACTAGGGAAGCTTCTTCACTCACAAAAGGGGAAGACTTGGGAGACCAGAGAACTGGGCACAAGCCAGTGATCTCTCTGCTGCTGGGTATTTCAGGGAATCTCAACTGTATTATGCCATAAAACAATATTCCTTTCCTAGGAAATGATCCAGGAGAACAAATGGAAAAGATTCTCATTTGTGGAATGTAAAGGCTTCGCATCCCAAGAATGCTGAGCTGCCTTTAACGGCTATCTGTTGGCAACTGTGTGATCCTAATCCAGTTATTTAACACGTCTCAACCTCCAACGTCATGTCTAGAGATAGGAATAATAGTTCTTGTTGTTGTATGTGCCATCAAATCACTTGCAACTCATAGTGACCCTAAGTACAACAGCCCTAAACCCTGATCTATCCTGTGCCAACCCACTGTCCCTGACATACCTACCCCATTACCCCAGCCAGTGAATCAACCCATCTCATTAGCGATCTTTCTCTCTTGCACTGTCTGCCTTCCTCCCAAGCATGACGTCCCTCTCCAAGGACTAGTCTCTCCTTGCAACATGCCCAACGTATGTCAGATGAAGACTCAGAATCCTTGCCTCCAAGGAGCAGCCTAGCTTCACCCTCTCCAGGACCAATCTGTTTATTCTCCTAGCAGTCCATGGTCTATTCAGTGCTCTTCTCCAGCATCACACTCAAAGGTATCAATTCTCCTTCGAGCATCCCTACTCTTTGTCCAGATTCTAATAGTTACTCTTGTAATTAAATGTGACAATGCACATAGAGTGACAAACACAATACCTGGTAAACCATATATTACTGTTATGTTACTAGTATCTTCAGCATCATTTTGGGTGGTAGTTAAAAATTACTGTCAATTCCAGATGAGAATTGCTTCTATACATTACTTCCTTCCTTCTCTTCTGCAGCTAAGGAAATGATCAAAGGATCATTTAACTCAGCGAACACATCTATACCAACACTGGAAATGAAAAACTATCCTTAAGGAGACATGGATGATAACACGCTGGGTCAAGTTTGCACACTGACTGCAGGCCCTGTGGCTCGTGCTCAAGCTGTGTGTGCTGTGTGAACACACTCAGTGTGGCACTTCCTGCCCTGTGCCCTATGCAGCTGCACGCTTTCAGTCAGGCCTAGCCCTACCATGGCTTCTGCTTTGGAAGAGTTACAGAAAGATTCGGGGGAGGTAAAGGTGTTACTGGAAAAGACAACTAGAGAAAGAATCCCCGATGCCCTTATAGCAGAAAAATCCAAGGTTGAGACCAAAATCAAGAACAAGATGCAGCAGAAAATACAGCGAAAAGCAAACTCTCTTGACAGTGAAAAGCCTGCAGCTTTGGTAGTTCCCGTTGTTGTTGTTGTTGTTGTTGTTATGTGCCATTCAGTTATTGGCATCTCATAGCGACACTATGAACAATAGCTCTGAAACCTGCCCTGTCCTGAGCCAATCTCACTGTCTCTGACACACCGACTCCTATTGCCCCAGTCACTGTGTCAATTCATCTCAGCCAGGTGCTTCCACTCCTGTGCTAGCCCTCCTCCCTCCAAGCATGATGTCCTTCTCCAAGGACTAGTCCCTCTTGACAACATGTCCAAAGTATGTGAGATGGAGCTTCAAAATCCTTGCCTCCAAAGGCTTCACCCTCTCCAGGATAGACTTATTTGTTCTCTTGGCTGTTCATTCAAGACTCTTCTCCAGCACCAAAACTCAAAGGCATAAATTCTCCTTCTGTCATCCTTATTGATTGTCCAGCTCTCTGATGCACTGCAAATAATTGCAAAGACCATGGCCTGGATCAGGCACACCTCAGTCCCTAGGCTGACACTGTTGTTCTCAGCACTCTGGAGAAGTCAACAATTATGGACGGGATCAGTCAGATACATTTGTGAAAATCTCTGTCACTCTATTTGGAGTCCATCAAGTCCTTGCTGAGAAGATGCAGACACATTCCACAGAGAGGTTATT